TACTTCCATAGTGATACTGCCTCGGAAACCCAAGGAGGGGTCGCTATGAGTCGGGGCCGACTCGATGGCAAATAACAACAACATGTGTGTTTATATATTTTAAGGACAGTTTTCTAGAAGCAAGTTAATGGAAAGGTACTATTGGGTGGGATACTATTTTGAGATATTTTGCATGTCATTCCATTTTGTTCCATTTGTCTCTGTGTTGGCTTTTTCCCTCAGCCTTTCTACAACACTCCGTGTTCACAGTTTCCCAGAAATCTCAGAGCTCTATTTGCAGAGGCCAACTGCGTCAATGCTTTTTATGATGATATCAAAAAGGAGTGATTAACTTGCTGGAGTTGCTGGGAGAAATCCAAAGAAATAAAAGATATGGTTCCTGTCCTTAAGACACGTATTTGAGGAATAAAATGAGCTCAAATAAAATAATCTGATACTCTGTAGCACAGATAAAAGTACGGAATTCATGAAGCATGGCAATCTCTGGGGCCTTGAATGGCTGGGGTTTTGAAGGCTGGACAATGTTTCAAATGGTACAGAGAAGGAAGAAGAGAATTCTAGATGGGAGGAGTATCAGAGAAGATTATACTGAACCTGGGCAGGAAACACGCAAGGTTCATCCTGTTAACAAGCTTAGTTCTGAGATTTCTGTTTCTCTCCTGTGGGAGAAAGGTAAGAGCTTCCTTGGAAACCCAGATGTGATTGTGGAATTCTTAGAAGTAGACAAAAGAAACCAGGAAGCAAATAAAGTGCTTCACAACTGAGAGCTCCCTCATAGCTGCAGTCCCTGCAGACTGAATTGCTACCTACCAACAGCAAAACTCTGTTTACATAAAGAATACCTCTCTCGAACTTGCCATATAATGCTTTAACTTACTTTGCCAGGGTAAAACAAAAGCACACACACACAGAGCCAAGCATTGGAGAAATTTACACTTTAAAGCTGTGTGCAGTTGGAAAAAATCCATCCGAGAATCTGGAGAGGGTCACCCACTGAGCCTGATTAAAAAGCATTCCCATTTTCTAGTAATATCTTTGCTGAATCCCTCTCTGGTATTTTAAAATCTATTCAAAGCACTTCCTGTTTCCACGAAATAAAAGAGAGCTGCGTTGGGCCTTTACTCTTCAGTGACTAAGCAAAGCTTTCCCAAAAGACAAAGCAGAATTTGTTCTGAAGTCCACTTCCAAGCTTCCATTCTGTTTATTATTTGTTCCTTCCTTCATTCATTGTATATTAACAACATACAATGTGCCAATATTCTACCAACGAAACAAAACCAAACTCCCTGCCATCGAGTTGATTCCGACTCATAGCAACCCCCTTTGGGTTTCCAAGGCTGTAAATCTTTACTGAAGCAGACTATCTCATCTTTCTTCCAGAGTATGGCTGCTGGGTTCAAACTACTGACCTTTTTGGTTAGCAGCCAAATGCCTTAACCACTATACCAACAGAGCTCTTTAATATTTTACCAAACCAAAAAGACAAACTCACTGCCATCAAGTTGATTCCAACTCATAGCGATCCCCATTGGGTTTCTGAGGCTATAAAACTTTATGAAAGTAGATTGCCCCCATCTTCCTTCCATGGAGCAGCTGGTGGGTCTGAACCACCGACCTTCTGGTTAGCATCCAAATGCCTTACCCACTATACTGCCAGAGCTTAATATTTTACCGTTGTCATGTGCCGTCGAGTCAGACCCGACTCAGAGCGACCCCTCCTTGGGTTTCTGAGGCAGTATCGCTACGGAAGTAGATTGCCCAACCTTCCTTCCAAGGAGGGGCTGCTGGGTTTGAACCGCCAGCCTTCTGGTTAGCAGTCAAGTGCCTTAAGCACTATGCTATCTACCAGAGGATATTAAAAAAATGATTAAGACATTTCTTCCCTTGAAAAGTTCTCCATCTACTGCCTGTAACTAAAACTATGTATAATGCCATAAATAAATACCCCTGAGCACAGCACTACAGAAGCACGTTGCTGCCTGTCAGCAGAGTCTCAGGGGTATTTTTAAATACAGTTCTCACTAGACTCCATCCCCTGCAGAGACATATGTTATACAGAGTGTGTATGTGAGTGACTGTGCACATGAATGAGTATGTTTGGGTTTTGGGGGTAAAAGTTAAAAAAAGTCAAGGGAAAGGGATGAGAGGGAAGGAAAAATCATCTTCCCAGAGTACAATGCCTCCTGGCTTTGTGCTATGAATAATTTATACTTGGAAACATGCTGCCTGGATTTCTCGAGCTGAATTAAGAGTCCCTGATATCTCATCCCTATAAATACCATGTTAGTATTTTATGGGAAAATTTTGGAAATGAGTCTTAGGGAGCCCTTACTGAGGCCCCTTTAGGGAAGTTCTTCATCTTCCCAAGTTGCTTTGTATTAGCTCTGCAACTCCTCCTGGTCATTTTCCCACCTTAACTCAGAAGCCTGAAAATTCTGTTTATGTTCCTCAAAGGCTTGATTTTTTTTTCTTTCCTGGAAAATAAGTTTCTTCTCCCTCAGGACACTGCAGCAGAGTACAGAGACTAGTTAAGATTTCTTCAGCCAGAAAGCATGTATCACAGTCACTTATACACCTATATTTCTTTTTCCCAAGAATCCAAAAGCACTTCATGGTCTTTGAGCTCGGTTATTAATCTGTACAACTGTACCGTGGAGAGAGGTAAGTGACCACCACCATATCCTTAGTGCATAGATGAGAAAATGAGTTGCAGTGACCTGATTAAGCTATGGAGGCAGTTAGGCATGGATCCAGGTTTCCTAAGAGCCAGTTTGGTATTTATCTCTCCCTAGATCACCTTCACAAGGAGCTCTCATAGCATAGGGTCTAAGGCATTTGACTGCTAACCAGAAGGTTGGCAGTTCAAATCCACCAGTTACTCCTCAGAAAGAAGGCTGGGCAATCTACTTCCATACTGTTACTGCCTCGGAAACCCAAGGAGGGGTTGCCATGAGTCAGGTCTGTCTTGACGGCACATAACAACAACAACGACAGATCACCTTCACAGGATGAAGATGTACCTGTGAATCCTGAAAGCTTTAGTCTGACTGCCTAGGACTCCATCACAGAGTTGAGTAGTTTGTATGGACAGGTGGAAGGTAGAAGCCACAACAGAACTACAAATGTAAAATGTCTGTGAGACAGATTGTTCAACTTGAATTCATGATGGGATTCAGATATGATGGAGAGTAGGCAGGCAGGTTGATCAGAAGACTTTGAGGAGGAGGAGATAATAGCTTTATGGATGAGAATCAGCATAAAGCCCATTCCCAGAAGGTAGAGATCAATCATATACCTGCATTCCTACTTCTCCGTCATTCCTGACACTAGCCACCTACACAGCACACTCTTTGTCTCTGACTCTAGCCACCTGAAGTGAGGGCAGATCTCAAAAGTTAAGAGGAGAGCATCCTTATGTTCATTAAATTTGACTCACAGAATTCATGAAAGGGTTTCTTAACCTTGGCACTACTGACACCTTTGACTAGATAATTCTTTCTTGTGGGAAGAGCTGTCCTGTGCATTGTAGGGTGTTTAGTAGCATCCCTGGCCTCTACCACTTGATGCCCTCCCCCAACTGTGAATATTCAGCAGCTGCCTGAACAACCAGACAAACCCTACTGATGTGTGTGGTTTACACCGTCACATCTCTCCTCTGATGAATCAGGTGTTGTTTCTGAGCCTAATTCTTCCATTATGGCAGTGGTTCTCAGCAGAGGGCAATTCAGGAGGTGCCTTCTCTGAGACATGGTAGCTCCACCTTAAGAACATTCCCATATCTGACCCATGCCTCTCTTCCTTATGATGATCCTAATTTATATCTTTTTACTATAATAAAACCATCAAAAGTATAATATTTTTCAGTGGACTTGTGTGTGAGTTCCAGGGAGAGACAGAGCTGCAAGA